AATATGGATTATGACTCCATATTGCTGAGATGTGGTGCTTTTAGGTTGAATGATTGTCTGGCTTGGAATAAGAATAGGGTCGAATGGATGATCCCCACTAAAATGAGTTGGCAGCACTTGAAAGCAGCGATTGACTGAGGTTCTGTCCTGGCCAAACACAGCACAGCCTGTATTCATTAAAGTCTCAGCTCCGGGTTTATCAGCGAATAACACAGACTGGATGGAGCTTTTTTATATCCTCTTTATCTTCCCTTCTCTCTGGTCTTTTTTTTTCTTTCAGTGAAGTGAAATGTTGAGCTTCCTTGAATTGCAGATGTGCTTCCCGCTCGCGTGGCGGTATCTCTGGCCCACGAGCCTCTGAAATGTCACCGCCAGACTGTACATGCCAAACTCAATAACCAGTAACAGGTGCTGTCCTCACTTCCTAACATTAATGACAGCAACAGCTCTGATCACAGTCTTAGTATAGAAGTGTGAGTGTTGATCAAGGTCAAAACCCTAGCAACACCTATTGACGGTGACAGAATGGAAAAAAGTGCCATATTCTTCCCGATTCATCTCTGGCCTACTGATCTAAAATCCTCATCTGGTATCAGCTATGATCCAAAAAAAAATGCTGAACCTCCCTCCCAGCTCATCGCTTTGTTCCCTGGCATTGTGCTTGAAATACTTGGACCCATCTGTCCTTGCTGGAAGCCTTGCAATTCACATCACTGTGTTAAAATACAGTTCAAATGTATCATCTGCACTTTGGAATGACTCACTGTGGCTTGCCCTTTGTCTTATAAACACTGTGTTTACAGCCGTTATCAGCCATTTGGATATTCAGACTGAGGCTTAAAGTATGCTTGTTTGAACAAATGAAAAATTCCGCCAGTGTTTCAACATAATTCTTTTAATTGCAGAGTCTCTTGCTCCAGTTATTGTTTAAAAGAGAAATAAGGGACATTATCGCACCTCATTAGCATTTGCTTTCAGTTGTTCTCAAAAAAACTACAATTGGATTTACTTGAATTGAATTGCTGTCTGAAATTTCTAATATGTCATTTCCAGCTGTGCAGTTTCATTAAGTTTATTATATACGTGTGTGTGTGTGTGTGTGTGTATTTCACATATTCCGTTAGAATACAAAAATATCCAGTCAACTATATTCATGCATTTTTTGCTTTCTTGCTGAGAGTTTGGCACTAGATGAAGACCAAAACTACTGTCGTGTGTGTATGCGGATGGTAATAATAAAGATTAACCGCTAACTTAGCACACAGCTAGCCTGGCTCTGTTCAAATCCACGTACCAATACCTCAAACTTATTAAGAACTTTTGTCTCATTATCACATTTGGTTTGTGCAAAAACAAGCAAACAAAAAAAGCCTATTCTGTGCACTATTAATTAATGAACATTAGAGATGCTAGCAGGCTTTCTTTTATTTTTTCTTTTAGATGCTAGCTGCTTCTCTGTTTCTAGTTTTTATGCTATGCTAAGCTAAGCTAACTGGTTGCAGAATTTCAACATAGTTAAATTTCACAATTGCTTTTTAAATTCTAATTCTCATTGCTTCTCTTTGCCAGCTTTCACCATGCTAGTGGATGAATTTGTTAATTGTCTTTTTGCGAAGCTAACTCAACCACCAGCTCCCTGTTGGCTTATATTTAGACCACAATGTCAATCTTCTCACCTAATTTCCACCAGAAACTAATTACATTTTTTTTTTAAATGACAGATTATTCTTTTTAATTTCAACACGGTACTTCTACACTATGATATTTATAAATTTCAGTTATTTCAGGCCTTTCTGTGATGACTTATAAATGTTGTCCGAACATGGAATTCACATTTCGCTCAAACGGAGCGTTCCCCTCGGCTGAGAAACACCCTTGAAAACAAACACAGGTCTTATATGTTGAGCATACAGCACTGCTGGGCGTGCGAGAGATCCAGCATGATAAGGACCTGTGAGTAATAAGTGCAGCTCATGTCAGGAATGTATCTGTGTGAAGCAGGGGGAGAGCACACTGTGGAACAGACAAGATGGAGTCACAGCAAGGCAACACCCCGCACCCTGGGAGTCTCCCAGCTGGTGTGACACCAGACCATCTGTGGGCCTGTTTATCCCAGAGAGCCGAGGTGGTCATGTGGAACTGACTGTGTGTCTCTGTGTGTGAATATGTGTGTGTTTTGAATATTGTTTTTCGCTCAGGCTGCAAAGCTTGAGAGACTTCAATACCTATTGAAAAGCAACCATTTGAACTGTGGACCAAAAACAGTTCCTCTGGTGCAAGCCGACCCAGTAAACTGCAGCACAATGCGAAATGGACTTGTTAGGAAATAACAAACTGACTGGATATGCAGATTAGAATATTTACTAATCATTATACACTCACTTCAATACAGGCCAAAGTCTTCGGGTGCTGACAATCAACCAAAAACTGGTGTGTCGTTTGATAAGAAAGCAGTTATGGAAGCAAAGAGCAGAGCATCGCTGCACACAAAGGCGCTGACATTACTCACAACATAAACCGAGAATGTTTTTAAATGCGACTGTGTCTCACAAGGGTGGAATCGCAACTAGCAAAAATCGCTTTTCCCTCTAATCCTCCACGAGCTACTCCCCCTGAGCCCCGCAGGAATTAATTTGCAACGCCAGGGATTCTGAGCAATTTATTTGCCACAGCAATCTAAACTGAGATTTGGATTTCATTACCGCAAACAGAATTCAGAAACAGACGTATACCTTCAGGACTTTCTCAGTGCCTTAGCTTTTTGTGTGAGGCACTGAGAGTTCAGATGGCTGTCCACACCTACTGCACATGGTCAGAAAGGAATGTAGCAGTGGAGGTAGCAAATTAAAGGTACTCGCACTTACGGTGAGTATTTCAGTTATGTGGCACTGTGTTATGTAAAGGTATGGCAATGGTTAAAGGTAATAAGTTAATGATAAAATGGCCAGTGGCTTGGTCTGTAACAATAAACCAGCCTGTTTGGACCTTGCACCTTTTTAAGACGTCTGTTCTCAGTTGGACCAAAAAATAAATAAAAAAATTCCTCCCTATAAACAGCTTAGATGGCTTTGTTTAAAAAGTAGATTTGGACAAAAAGCATTCAAATATATCTCAAAGACCCCCCCAAGAATGTATTTTTTTTCTTCTCAACCCCTAAAATTTATCTCATGCCCCCTTTGGAGGGACCTGACCCTTGAGTTTGGAACCACTGGACTAACCTACCAGACTGTATTAAATGTTTAAACTTACCACCATGACCATGTAATAGTAACATCCATGCATCAGATTTTGAATGGAGTGTTGCTGCATTGGAAATGTGGCGACACTCCTGCCGACACCAAATAGCAGCCTTACAAAACATACACAATGAAAAGAAAAATTGCATAACAAGGCCATAAAGGGCACTTGCATAGTATTAGCCTCGAGAGCTTTAGGAATTTAACTGTGCTCTAATTAAGTCATTGATGAGCATCTAAAACAGGCTTTAGGTGTGTTTAAGTGTCCATGTTTGCTCAGCCTTCGTAACACTTCTGTGTACATAAGTCTTTGACAAGAGAGGGAGGAGTATTAAAAAACACTAAGCTATTTTTCTCCCCAGACCTTTGAGTCACACGAAATTGCAAATATGATTAAGTCTTACCTGAGTTAAAGCTAAACTTTGGTAAATGTTTGGCTTACTCTATGCTCTGCGTTCCTTCTTGAAACTGAAGCCCAGAGGGGTTACTACTTCTTCAAACCTGTAACACATGCCTGGCTTAAAATAAACAAAGATAGGATGGATGAGGATTTATATTTATGCGATGGTTCATTATGTGTACGACAGGCGACAAATAGCTCTAAACCTGCCATCACAGCCACGATTACTGAGACATTAACTGCTGTCCTCAATCTCTAAACGGACCCAAAGTTTACAGTACATGAACTCCAGGCTGTCCACAGATTGCACACTTAATTTTAGCTTTAAGTCGACTACAATATACAGAGTGGCAGCTCCTGGTATGAGACTGTCACTATTATTCATTCATTGGCAAAGTCTGCTATTGGCTACATGTTAAAACGCTCCGATAAACAAATAATAAATCAGTCCGCTTCCCACAGATCATGTTCAACTGTAGTTTATTTTATTAAAAAGACCAGGGTGCAAATATGAAATTAAAAAAAATAAAGACAAGCATATAATTTTTAAGCATTTAATACAAACTTAACAATATAAACTATTTCAGTCCCTCTTGACATGTAAGACACTGACTCAAAATACTTTGTTATACCGTATTTTTTTATCAAGTATTGCACAATGTAGGTACAAAATTAATATTCATACGATTACATTTTGTCCATAGTATAGCAAAATCTTTTTAACCTCTTAACAGAAAATACAATTCATCTTTCAGAAAAAGCAAATATTCCTACACTTGAATTCCACCACTAAGGAATACTCTGTACACAATCTTTAGAATATTTGATGTATTTTTTTTTTTTAAAGATGACTTCTTTAACAATTATCTTTAAAAAAAGAAAAAAAAAATAAGGAAAAGCTGCTGCAGCCATCACAGATCACTGGAGTAGTAAAAAGATATAAATGCAACACCATGTCATAGAAACAATATATACTCTGATATCTTACAAACTCTGTACTAAATTAAATTATACAATTAGAAAAAGACCAAGTAACCCCACTTAGTAGTGCCAATTCATAAAAATCAGCCTTGTCTTACCACCTGTAA